GACAAATATAAAATAATAAAAAATCTGATGTCTATACTTAAGACTAATTTTTGGAAAATTTGAAGCGGAAGACCAAACTTTTAGCTTAAAGTTAGCTTTGCTACTGCATGATCTGGAGAAAAAAAAAGCTGATAAAAGACATACACTTATATCTGTTGAACACTATATACGATATAAGATAAAGAACCTAAGTAGATTTATTCTTTACAATAATGATATTGGATCAGGAAAAAATGCATTAGCGGATAAACTTTTGTAAGAACATTTGAATCAATTTTTATTGAATCATTGATAGTTACACAATTTATACACATTTAGATTACCATGTATAAATAATATTAAAAATTATACGTATAAATTTATACGTCAAAGCGATGAGTTATACCTTCGAATATCAAGATGTCAATTTCTAAACTTTTACCTACTCATGTACAATACCATAATAATCCTATAGAGTTTAAAACAAAAAATTTTACTTTTTGGTATACAATATGTAACAAGGTTGTTTTTCCTTCTGTATTAGATCTTAAATATACAAAAGTACCAAAAAGTTATGCTATTCCTAATAACTATAGCGTTATTACAACGTGGGGAAAACCAACAACTTTATATACTATTAAAGATCATATTGAATATATAGATAATAGTCCAGTTTATTACATAAATTATGGACCAGATTTTGAGTTTGAAGTAGTATCAAATCGTTCTTCTAGTGATGCAGCAACAAAAGTATTAAAGGTTAGTAATTAATATATAAGTTATATAAAATTTATAGATTATATTAATAAACTATATATTAAATATTAGGCTATAAATGAATTAAAAGAACAATCAAAAGAAAGTCGAATGTCAGGTCCTTTTCTTTTTGGTCTTCATCTTAAACAAGTACAAAAAAATTGACCACCTTGTAGCAAACCTTTTAAAAGTTTAAGTGTTTCTACTAAGAAAGCTCGTATAAAAGCTATAGCAAAAAAAGTTAAAAAAAATTTTAATGAAGTGGCTAAAGAGAATCTTTACCCTAAAGATCATGTAGCTCTTACAAAATTATCTTATACGATTGAAAATAAATTGTTTCAAATAGAGTTTGGATCACAAAATAATATAAAAAAAAAAAAAAAGCAAGAATTAGCAATTGTACAGGCAATTGACAAATATCAAATACCATGGGATGGTTATCGTGCTTTAGCAGCTATTTAACCAGAATTGCCTTGCTATTATACAATTTCTAATCAACGCATAGCTTTAACATTAAAAATAGAAAGTAGTATACCTATTTACATGTTTAATATTTCTGATGATTTTTTATTAGATAAGGAGGAGTTTGCAACTAGCTTGAATATAGCCGAGCCTGTATTTCAATCAATTGGAAAAGCTGCATGACAAAATATTAAAGATATACTTTTATATATACTTCCTTATTTAGTAAATACTGGAATTCTTCATCCTTCACAACCTGTTATTAACTTGAGAATTTCTGGAGATGGGCATAATATCGGCAAAAAAATTAAACATGTGATAATTACTTTTGCAATCTTAGATAAAAAAGAAACTTTATATTTACCAGATAGTCATTTTACGATTGTCATTTATTCAGGAGTTGAAAATTACAAATCTTTAAAAAATGCAACACAGCCACTTGTTTCTGAATTAAATGAATTACATAATACTGGTTTTGTTGACAAAAATAGAATTAATTGGCGTATTAATTTGTATTTTTCCTCAGACTAGAAATTTTTAGCACTTTGTTTAGGTATTAACGCAGCAAATTCTATTAATTTCTGTTCTTGGTGTGATGCAAAAAAACAGATCTTGGCAATTTAAAAAACCGGTCATAGAAAATTGAAAAAGATATAAATATAATAGCGTCTAATCATTTGGCTTATTTTGGACATATCAGGATACCTTTATTTCTAATGATTTTATTAAGTCACTAGGTTCCTGACGAATTGCATATTATGCTTAGAATTACTGATCGATTATGGTCTTTAGTAATTTCTGAATTAGAACAAAATAGAGAATTTGATGTTGATATGCATAATACTATTTGTAATGAAATGAAAAAGTGCAAAGTTAAATTTCAGTTTTGGAAGGATCAGAATTCATCTAGGTGGCAATCCACTTCGCTTTCTGGTCAAGACAAACTTAAAGTATTATGAAAGTTTGATTTGTCAGCAATTTTGCTAATAGATCGTGCAAAAAAAATTAAGCTATTGTGGAACAAATTTGATCAATTATACTGTGCTATGAAAAACTCAAATACTAATCCTTCACAATTTGCTTTAGAAACAAAAGAATGGGAAACATATTTTCTTCAACCTGATATTATTGATAATAACGATCCAAATAATATTGTAGAAGAAGTATTATATCAGCCCTCTGATATTACACCATATATTTATGTATTTGTCTATCATATTCCGGAGTTTATGAAAATTCATCAAGAATTTAGACTGGGTTCCTTTTCCTGCTCTGCTGTGGAAAAGAAAAACATCAACAATCAACTTTTTTTTTCTGTCAAACACTTAAAGATGGAGGCAACCCAAATCAAAAAACATGTACAATTAAAGAAATTATGAATTATAAAAATCGTCGACTTTATTATGCATATAATGATGATAATTCTTTTGATAAGCCAACAAGAATTCGAATTATATGGTAAGTGTATATTAATAATACTATCACTATTAAAAATATTTAATTCTTACTTAATTTTGTAAATATTTTTTGCATATATATAGATAATGTTAGTAGATATTAGCATTTGCATTAAGA